TGAAGTTTAGGCTTACAATCAGTGTTTGGTGCTTGTACATCAGTGTCATTCATCTATCATTTCCTCTGATTTTAGGGATTACTCATGGTTAAGGTTAGGTTTAGGTGTAGGGATATGGTCAAAGACTACATTTTTGGATTAAAATGTTGTTCCAGAGTCAACAAAATATGTTGACCTAGGAACACATCTAAAGCCCCGTTCACACCAAGAACGATAACTATAAAGATAACGATATTAGTGTCCACACCAGCGAACGATATCGTCTGTTTATTCTAAGCGCACACGAGTCTGCCGCTTTAAATTCTTGAGCTCGTTACAGCAGGATGGATTCTGATTGGCTGTCAGTGTTTTATCGTCCATCAACTGGAAAAAAAATAGTTTTGAAAGTGATCACAACGATATCGTTCCTCTGTATCGTTATCGTTGTGGTGTGAACTACGCTATTCTTTAATATTAAGAACGATTTTTAGAACTATATCTTTATCGTTGTCTTTCTTTATAGTTATCGTGCTTGGTGTGAACGGGCCTTAACTCTGCAAAATCAGGATGTGTTTTGCCACCTACCCTCTGGCACTCCTCCATCCTGAACTGTGGTCGCTGTCCCAAAAACAAAGTCAGGTCCTGGATAGGACAAACCTCTCGACTTGGTCTTTCCAAGAGCTGGCTATAGAGAAAACACAGTAATGAGATAAATGCAAATATTTCATGAATAGTGTCCTTGTGTTTTTTTTATTTAAAAAAAAAAAAAATATCGGTCTATCATGCACTGGAAGCTTCACCAAGACAAATTCCTTCTGTGTGTAAGGAAACTTAAATAGATATAAACAGACTTAAATTCTAAATGTAAATTACATTTTTTTTAATTAAGTACATTTTAATAATTATTTTAATCTAAACATGGATATATTTATAAATAATTATTTTTATCTAAATATTTATTAAATTTTCTCTCCAAAGGCCTTTTTGTGTGTCTATTTTTTGACAGAACAGTAACTCTGGTTTTTCAAAAGCTTTTTTTTTCTGAACCTATAAACTGTCAATCAAACTGTCAATCACCCTCAATTACATCACCACAATAAAGGCGCTGTTAAACTGAAGCATTTAACGGCGCAAGACAATGCATGCCTCACAATGTCAAAGATTTACGGACCAGAGTGGCAGCTGATTTCTTGATTGACAGGCAGTTTTCCAACCCACACCTTCAAACCCTAGCACACCAAAGCATCTGATTGTGTCTATTAATAAAATCATAATTATGCACAAACTTATTACCATAAAAAATGCCGCAAAAGAAGCCCAAATGACTGCGGTGTCTGGCAGCACAGTAAAAAACGAATTCCCATTGAACGTTGATGTGAGTGACCTTGATGGCTGATTTCTTCAGTCAGGACTCAGTCTGAATCACTAGCACAATGTAGTCCAGTCAGTTCATGTATAGAATGATTTATGTCTCCAGAGTCATAACTGTAAGATGACTGACAGCTAAAGAGTTGAAAAAGCCAACACTTATCCTACCATGTGTGTGTTGGGGGGTTGTTTGGGAGGGGGGTATTTACCCCCTATCATCATCTACTCCGAGAGAAGCTCTCATGGGGCAAAAGAAAAACCCACTATTTTTCTCTGAGCTCTGTTAAACAGCTCAAAGCCTTGTTTTAAGAGCAGATTAGCTGCGAAAAAGTGGAAAATTGTGAATCAAACCACGGCAAAGGTGACAACCGGATGTATCAAAAGTGATCTGTGGAATATGGTGCCTGAGCACTCCAGAAGCACGTATCTTTGATCTCTGATGGAACATGAGGGAGGTGTGCTCATGTGTCAGTCACAGAGTCACATTCATGTCAGTGGTTCTCCTCACGCTGCCGTATGCGATTTTTGGAGGGAGAAAAGAATCAGCACAGTGAGTCTGCCATCATCTCTGGAGATCTCTGTGTGTTTGCTGTGCTCTAAAGACTTAATTCTTGGTTAAAAACCCTCAATCCTTCATTATTCTGAGCTTTGAATAGTCTACATTGAAAAATGGATTTGAAAGATATTTGTCACTGGACCCCCACCAATCATGCTGGGCAAGTAAAGCCTACCAAAAACCCAATTCGACTGCCAAACTTGGCTCTTTTTTGTGGCGAATTCCTAAGCACGGCCAAATTGAGATCATCTAAATCTTTCTTGGCCTTTTTAACTCACAGACACCCAACCTCTAGTTAACATTATCTGCTGAAACGTATCAAACGCTTCTTAAAAGCGCCAATCTTTTGAGTAAGTGCCACCAGGCTTCTCGGCCAGCCCTTTAATCCCCTTCGCCGTTTTAATCTGCAGATTGTTTTGAGGAGATCACTTAGAGATGCCTGAAGGAACGTGTTGACTGCTGGCGTAAAACGGCTAATCAGACCCCTCAAAACATTATTGGGCCTTTCATGCGCAATAAAAGGGCTGAAAGAGAAGAGGACAACAGAAAAGGCAAGTCGGGTGAAGGATTATGTTAAGCAAAAGCTCCTTTTATATTGTCATTTATTGGTGATCTGTCTCTATATTGTGTTTTCATTAACCAGGCATGGACCTGCTGAATGAGCCAAAGGACGGCTTGAGAATAGGGCCGCTTCAGGAGAGGCTACACGAGGGTCAGCGGGAGCAGATTATTCGCACAGGCTAAAAGAGATGGAGAACAGGGGGACATAATCATCCCTTACTTAGGAGACCCCTTCAGTCTATTCAGGCCCCCGTGCTTTAATTTCACCATCCTTTTGTGCTTCTCTTACTCATGTGTGCTTTTAGGATTTCGCTTGAGCTGCTGAGATTAGTTTAGCACTGACCCTGAGAGTCCATTGCTGCATTTTTCAGTCCCGTTGCTGGTCCTGTTTGAACACTTGCACAAGTTTTTAAATTTTTTTTTCTCAGATGTTGCGAATTCTGTGTGGTATTTGTCTTTTTTCCTCCTTAATCTCACCCAGACATCATTCCCGACAGCCTTTGCTACTAGATTTGCACACATTTTAGAGAGGAAGCTTCTGGATAAAACTGGTCTGCTCCTCCTGTCCAAGACCTAGTAGGTTTATTCGGTCCCCGTGGAACTGGTTTAATCTCATCAGGCAGCGGAATGGAGAATTGCGAGCCAGGCCTGATCATCTCATCTCCTCAGTGCTGACAGACAGCTTCGCCATGAGTGTCTTCGTCAGACTTACAAATAAAAGTGCCCATGATGATGATTAGAGGATAAGGGCATAATGCTCACCGAACTGTCTCCACTAATTATTATCCCGCTCTTCCAACCCAGTTCAGCGCCATCTGGTGCCTGATTACAGGACAGCAGGCACATTGGATTAAAATTAATCTCTTCATCTCGACTAAACTAAATAGAGGGAATGAATGGCAGAGAGAAAGTGGAAGAGGGGAAGCACAAGAAAGAATCTGTATCTTTGTCACTGTGTGATCTGATACAATTCATGGGGAGAGAATTCAAATATATTCCCTGTCATGAAGAAGCAGAGGAAAACATGGTCTATATTCATAATTTCTACCTCATCACTGTATGTGCTAGAAGGCAATCCAGAAAAAACCAACATGTTTAAGTCAGCTAAAAAAAAAAACATTTACTAATAAGGATTAGGTCAAAAATGCTGAGAGGAGAGAAAGTGGAATCATAACCCTAACTTTCTCATCAGATCACAGCTTTTCTCTTCTCTAGCTAAATCCGTCAACTCTAAATTAATATCAGCCCACTTCTAAAATCCCCAGAATGTCAATGCGCGCATATGTGCAACGCAAACATACACGCACATTCATCTCATCTATAGTCTGGCTGGTTATTAAGATGCTAACTCTCTTTATGTGTGGCAAATCCTGAAGCTTTGGGTATAATTGATGAGGCATTTCCATAAAGAGGGTCAGCTAATTGGGAGCATGTGTCTGGGCAAGCTTGTGCTACCCTTCTTCAATACAGATGAGTGTTATCCTACTGCTTTAGATGTATGTATGCTTGAGTATGAATGGGTGTGTTTAATAAAAAACGGCCCACAACTTGGATCACAAACTGCGTTTAAACCATGTGCATAAGCGGTACACTAATTAGACATGTCCAAGAGTTCAAGCTGTCCTTAACCTGGACTAAACTTGTACATGGACAATTAAAAATGCAGCTGGGTCAATGGCATTATTATTTTTTTTTTTTCTGTATCTATTAATTTATTTAAAATACATGAACAATGCAATTGATACACCACCGTTCAAAAGTCTGCCATCAATAAGATCTTTTTTGAAACAATGAATAGATTTATTCAGCAAGGATGTATTAAATTAATCAAAGTGGCAGTAAAGACATTAATAATTATAGAAAGATTTCTATTTCAAATACATGCTGTTCTTTTCTATTTTCTATTCATTAAAGAATCCCGTAAGAAATGTATCACGGTTTCCACAAACATTTTAAGCAGCTGTTCTCAACATGAATAATAGTAGAAATGTTTGTTGAGCACCAGATCTGCCTACAGAAAATTCAGCTTTACCATGACAGAAATAAAATACTATTATAATTTTATTTTAAATTGTAACAATATTTCATGATATTACTGCTTTTACTGTTTCATACTTTTAAATGGGAGTGTATATACATTGACTTGAATACACCTCTCCTGTATTGAACCTGTTTTAATTGCTGAACTAAAATGACTCATTTTAATTTATTAATTCATTAAAATTAATTAAGAAATCAAGTAAGAAAACCTTGATAAGTAGTGTGGTATGGTATTTTGTTAAAATATTATATATATTAAAAAAAACAAAACAAAACATGTCTGCCAATTCAAAGTGTTGTGAAGAAATCCAATTTAATTTTTTTGAAAATGTTTTTCAAACCCATGAGAACAATGTGAATAAAGTGATTACATTTCTAAGAACTTGGATTATTCCTTTTTCTTATTTGTCACTGACCCAGCTGATAGCGGCCCCACAGACTACATAAATAGTTAGCAATACAACTGAACACAGACAAGAATGATATATGTGTTTACATTCTCTCAATCCATAAATGAACGCATACGGCCCCTGTTATGACAGACTACATATGCCAAAGGTCTCTTTTCATATCTCATTTACATTTATCTATTATGCAAGCAGTTTACAGTTATGTATTGGGTTCGTGGTTATGTATCTGTCTCTCTGTGCTTGTGTCTACACTACAGCAGTCCCAGCTGGATCTCATTAATAATAAGGCCCTGTGTGTTGCTACAGTGACTGTGTGGAAGCTAAAGCACCTTGCAGAGGTGGTAGCGAGGCACCATTTGCATGGACCTAAGTGTAGATGCCTATGAACAGTTGAGGTGGGTGAAGGTCAACGATGAGGCCAGTTCCTGCGCAATTTAAGTAAATTCCACAGGCCAGTTAAAGTCACTAGGCTACTGTATGAAATTTTAGCTTAATTTGCTAACTCTCAAAATGTCTCTGATAATGCTTTTTAAAATATATTTTTATTAATCTGGTTTAGTCATTAGGCCAGACCACATATACATAATAAATTAGCGCTGCAGGCGAATATCGGCTACAGTACAGATTTGCTTAAGAATGAACCGCAGATTGCCGTGTGTCTAACATTAGCTACATAGACTGAATGAAGTGAATGGTAATGAGTGGGAAGAGGGGACTGTGAATGGGGCCCAGCCAGCCTGCTGCACAGCAGGGCTCTCTCAGACACCAGAGAACAACAAAAGCCCCAAATCTGCTCCCCTGATCTCTAATTTACTGGTCATCAGGGAATACAGGCATGAAAACAGGATTTATTGGCCATGCCTCATCAAAAAGGAATTAACAAGAGGAGAGGAATGGAGAGGAGAGGAAAGGCCTTTTTGTACTTTTCTCACTATCAACTTTTTGGTCACAAGCACAGAAAACCACACTTTGGGTGCTCGGTTCTATAGATGCAGACTAATTCATCTCCTTTTCACTTTGAGGCCCATTAGCACATTACTAAGATATATGTCCCTTTTCCCCATGGGACAGCCATACATCAGCCCTGCATAAGCAGAGAAAACTTCTGCGATGATGAACTGCTGCACAGGCCGACAAGAGATGCGCTCAGCACAAGGGATTTGCTGCAGTTGGCCTATTTCTTAATGAATATGAGCCTTTCACAGATCTCCCTTTATATTGCAAGTGAGCAAAGAAGGTTGAATGTTCGAACAGCTCTCAAAGCTAGACGCGCGAGAGGGAAGAAATAGAGCAACATCAGGCAACGCCACAAGAACAAAAGCTTAAATCCTCACAGATGACTCTGTCATTGTTCCAGCGCATTGCCAAAACCTGTAGCAATGACTGCTCACAATGAAAAAGAATGAGAAATCCTTGATCTCATGAGACTATATCATTTGATGCGGACACCAAAATGGGTTATTGATGGTAATGGGATATTGGATGAATAAGTTAATAACACACATTATAGCCATAATATTTGGAATTATCAAAGAGTTACCAAACCTTAGTTATTCTGTTTGTTCACTATATCCAATAGGTGTAGTAGTTTGCTTATGACCTGCATTTATTTATTATTTAGTATTTTTAGGGGATTTTATGGTACTAAATAA